CATCTCCTATACAAAATATTGCATTAAACAGTAGGAAAGATTCTTCAAGACGGACGTTTCCTGGTGAAATGGACAAGGTTTTCTTCCTGGTGTCTCCAGAGGTCTTTGAATCCACAAGAAACTTCTGTGCCTGATATTTTGGAATACCTACTTGATTGGAAACATTAAAACCTGTCGCTTAGCTCAGTCCTGGTTTGACTGCTATTTCTGCACACCATCCTCCAGGGGATGGACAGTTTTTTCTCATCCAACTGTAGTGATTTTTGAAGAGTCTTATTGTGGTGTTACCACCAGATAGAGAAGTGATCTCTCCATGGGACCTCAATTTAGTGTTTTCTGCTCTAATGGGTCCACCCTTTGGATGGATGGCAACATGTTCATTATTACATCTGTGTATGAAAACTCATTTTTAGTCACCTTTCTAGATACAGTGTTTCTTAGGAACATCCTAAATTCCTACTGAAGGTTGTCACAGACTTCCATTTGAATCAACAGCTTCACCTGCCTATATTTTCCCAGAACCCACATGCTTCTAAAGCAAAGGCTTTGCTTCATACATTAGATGTCAGATGTGCTTTGGCATTTTATTTGCAAATAACAAAATCTTTACGATCTTCACCCAGATGTTTCATCTCCATTGGCGAGAGGATAAAAAGTGAACCCCTCTCAACTCAGAGATTGTCCAGATGGATATCTGACTGTGTGAGGACCTGTTATGAAGTGGCTAAAATGGACCCTCGTGCTTCTCTCAGAGTTCACTCCGTCAGAGCTTAGGCAGCCTTGTCAACATTATTGAGAAATGTTTCTGTTGCAGACATATGTAAAGCAGCTACCAGGGACCTATTCACACATTTATGAAGCATTACAATATCAGTGAAACCTGCAGATCAGATGGTGTGTTTGGAAAGGTGGTTACAATCTCTAATTTCTTAAGACTCCAAGCTCCCATCTTGATTACATTGGTCCACTGACTGGGAGTCACCATAAATGGAATGCGCATGGACAATCACTTGAAGGAGAAAGGAAAGTTACTTACTTGTACAGTAACTTGAGTTCTTTGAGCTGTTGTGCATATGCACATTCCACAACTTGCCCTCTATCCTCTTTATCTCAGTCCTATACCACCAACCAAGATTCTACAGTGGAGAGGAAATTGAATGGCGGTTGGCCCACTCTACCTTTTTATGCCTTTGGTGTGGGGCATGAGGACACTCAGTGCTCATACACAGCTGGACAAAAGACTCTTGAACTAAGAGTCATGGGGCACACATGCACTATGAATGGAATGTGCGTGAAGTAAACTTCCTTTCTTTTAATGTACTTTGCAGTGTGTAATATCTCAGAGTAGTTTTTGAAGATTTGAACTCTTATTTCATCTTTCTTCACTGTCAAAAATAGTTTAAAGGGGTTGTAATGGAAGGGGGGGAAATGGGCCTAAAATAATACTATTATATTTGTTACCTTTTTGCCAGGCAGAGAGGGTGTTATTTGTGAAGCCACAAATTAATCTTCTAATGAGGGAACATGAAACCATTGTGCTTCACCCCTCTTCTATTGTAACAGTAGCTGCTACAGCTACTTTGGCAGATCTCTGGTGTTCCTAGTACGAGTGCTGCTGCTGCTCTGGTATTGTTATGGGCCAGCTCTTTAGAATATTGTATTTAGTTATTATTTTGGCATGCTGTATGGTGTTTTATCTGGTGCAAATAATAAAAATGTATTATTAATTATTATTATTATTATTTATTTGTACTGCAGTAGTACATAAAAGCCCAAGCAGGGATTTGGGCCAATTCTACTAGCCACTGTACACACATGCAAAAAAGACAGTCTCTGAAAAAGTTAACAAGATGCAAGTTGAATTAAACGTGAAAAAGTTTATTGAAAATAATATCACACTGATAGTCTCAAATTGCTTTAAAATACCACAGTTGGAGACCTTTTCTTTTTGTTGTTTATTAAATGTCACCCACTTTATATATATATGCCAGAGGTGGGCAAACTACATCCAGCCCCTCAGACCTTTTAATCTGGCCCTTGAACTCCAGCCGGGGAGCGGGGTCGGGGGCTTGCCCCGCTCCGCGCGGCTCCCAGAAGCAGCGGCATGTCCCACCTCTGCTCCTACGCGTAGGAGCAGCCGGGGGGCTCCGAATGCTGCCCCCACCCCTACCGCCGGTTCTTCAGCTCCCATTGGCCGGAAACCACAGCCAAAGGGAGCTGCAGGAGCGGTGCCTGGGGACAGGGCAACGCGCAGAGCTGCCTGGCCACGCCTCCACGTAAGAGCCAGAGGGGGAGACATGCTGCTGCTTGAGGTAAGCGCTGCCCAGAGCCTGCACCCCTGACCTCCTCCCGTGCCCCAACCCCCTGCCCCAGCCTGGAGCCCCCTCCTGCACCCTGAACTCCTCATCCCTGGCCCCATCCCAGAGCGAGAACCTCCAGCCAGAGCCCTCACCCCCTTCCGCATCCCAACACCCTGCCCCAGCCTGGAGCCCCCTCCTGCACCCTGAACTCATTTCTGGCCCCACCCCAGAGCCCACACCCCCTGTCCTCACCCCCTCCCACACCTCAACCCCCAATTTCGTGAGCATTCATGGCCCACCATACAATTTCTATACCCAGAAGTGGCCCTCAGGCCAAAAAGTTTGCCCACCTCTGAGATATGCTTTCTGTTTTGTTAGACCATGCATCTACTTGTTTTTCACTATGAGTGTTTCTGGAAAAATACTTCACATTGTGTGAAGAGATGCTGTTATCAGGACATTTTGAGATTCTATACTTAATTCTCTCACTCTGTGAAATTCCCTGTTCAGTACTCCTCATCAAATTTACTCGGTTTACAAGTTAATTGACTGTTTCTCTTAATTCCAGCCCTGCAAATGTAGCCTGCAATCTGAAAATGTAGTTATTCTTTCTGCATAAGATGTTATCATATGGTACAGTTAGTATTATTGGCTATTTTCTGTATATTTTGACCATTGTTGTCTGTGGGGATCACAGAGCGGAACAGGGGTGATGTGCAGACTGTACCTCTCCCAAGAAACTGGCAGCTCACCAAAGAGTAGCATCACAGAGTTAAAGGGTGTTCTTCATTCCTTTACCAAGTTAGGCAATGGATATGGTATTGTAAAAAGGGGAAATTAGGACTTCTTATAAAGGGATGTATGTAAAAACCCTGTGAACTTCACATAGACAAATAACCATATATCTTATATCCATTTTCATTCACTTTTTGTCTGGATGGTGAATGAACAGAAGATTTATGTTTGAAAAAATATCAAAGTATGAATTTTGAAAATAGCTGGTATTCAAACCTCCTAGGCTGTCTTTCTAGTAAGCTAACATAGAAAGGGACAGTCAGAAGAAAAATGGAGGCAAACAAATTCATTAAACAAAAAGGAGTCACGGGATAGGGGAGCTCAGTGCCATAGAGTCACAATTGTGGGGGTGTTTACTCTCCATGGCTCTGCTAACTCCGAGATGGTGACACTAATTACCATACCACCATTGATTGCTGTTCGCCTAATGTACAAACCATGGACCATGCAACTCAGGAGACCTAGATTCTATTCCTGGCTTTGCCACTGGCCTGCTGGGTGATTCACTTTGCCTTTCTGTACCTCAGTTTCCCTATTTGTAAAATAAGGATAATGATACTGAGCTCCATTGTAAAGCTCTTTGAGACGTACTGATGACAAATGCTTTATAAGAGGTAGGTATTCTTGTTTCTTTATTGTTGGAAGACAATACATAGAGAACCTATCAGCTGATTTATCTACACTTCCTCTTACAGAGGCAGGAAAAACAGACATATTTCTGACTACTTCTCAGAATAACTTCCTGAACCAGGACTCCTTCCCAAATAAGAGAAAGTTCAACCAGTTGAGGGATGTGTGTGAGTGGCACACCCATGGCACTGTAGCACAAATCCAGTCAGCACAGTATTAATTATTTTAGTTTCCTGGCCTTCAGAAAGATGTATCAAAGTGCGAGGCTCAGAAGCTTTACACTTGTTTCCCTGAATGACCCTATCAAAAATTTGATGAGCATCCTTCTATCCCATTTCATACATGATGAAAATTGTCCCATTTTTTCTTAAAAAACAAACTACTCTTACATATGATTTTACATTAAGGTATTTCATTACAAGCATCCAGACTACTGCAACAGAGGCTATTTACTAAACAGCACAATACAAAAAACCCTATACATTATGTACTTTTTTAAAAAACTCTGTCAGTGCCTGATAAAGGTCCATTTGTAATGCATAGGCACAAGAAGGCAGAGTTAAGGTTGCTGGGGGAAACTGTACTCTGAATTCCCTCATTTTGGTACGATTTTCGGTGGCGCTGTTTAGATTTCAAGCTGCAGCCACCCAGCTGTTGTATAGAAAACCCGTTTTGCACTCTGTTGGTCTGTGGCGGCTGTACTGAGCAGGTGAGCGATGACCCCCTGCAGGGAGTGAACTAGTCTGGGGTGAGAAAGCCTTGCCAGGATGAGGAGCTGTGTCAGCAGGACCGGTCACAGGGCCTGGGGAGAGGCGTCACCTCCCGGCCAGCTTGGGACGGGGCTGGCCCCGCGGCGGGACGCTGCTGTGGCACGGGGAGAACCAGGCTGGGGCCAGAAGGCGCTGCTCAGAACCAAGGCCGGCCGACGCCGTGGTGGGATACAGCGGGGGCGGGGCCTACCCAATGTGTGCGTGGCGGACAGGTACCCGGGCCCAGCTTAGCCACTGGGTGCTGCCACCGTCACAGGCGTGGGGGCGTGTACTCTCCACGACTCTGCCGAATCCAACAGGGGGGCCGCGGTTGCCATGGCGGCAGCGCGAGTCATTCACCCTAACGAAGGGCGGCCCGGGTTTAAGTTCTGAGGCCAGAGTTCGGCGCAGCCAAGTGACGTCATACCGAGGCGTTGGGAAGGAGGCAGAAGCTAAGAACCAAAGCGGGCTGCGGAGAGCTACGTAACACCGCCGGGACGCCTCAGCGAGAGCCCCGCGCTCCTGCCGCGCCCTCTATCCGCGGCGCGCGCATGTGGTAGCTCGGTGGTCGCCGCCCCGCTGCGGCCGGAGCTGGAAGTGCGGCAACATGAGCAGCGGCCCCGGCACCCCGGGGAAAGCTGCGGGATACCCGCTCCCCGCCGGCAGGAAACGGGACTCGGTGGGGGCGCCGGCCCACCCCATTATCAAGGGTAAGGAGGGGGCCTGGCCCCGCCCGCACTGAGACCGCCCCCCCGCCCCAGGGCGGAGACGCCGCGCTCAGCCCCTGCTGTCTCCGCCTGTCTGTGTCCGGGGATCTGCCCGGCGGGGCCGTGTCTGCCCCGCCCGGGCCCGCTGAGCGCCGCGCAACGGCCGCTGGGTGAGCGCGCGGGGCTGTGTCCAGTTCCCCCGGCCACCCCCGGAGTAGCGCGAGAGTCGCTCCCTCCCCTGTAGCACAATTCGCCCCTGGAGCTTGTGGCAGGAGGTGGCGAGAGGCTGAGCGCTCAGCAAGATCGAGGGAAGGGTCGGAGGTGTGCGGCTAAAGCGCCCCCGGGATGGCGTTACAGAGAGGACGCGGTGCACGTATTTAACAGCGATATATATACTCGAGTTTCAAGCCAGAAAGCCAGTGCTAATCGCCTGGTGTTAGGCAGAAACTTCCCTTATGGACAAGTCATTGCCTAACTTTTCAGTACAGCGTTCCTTGTACCTTCCTCTGAATTAGCTCATACTTGATTGGTGGCCATCTAGTCATGTAGCCTGCCTCCGACAGCAGTGTAATCTGGGACGGCAGTTTTTATTGTTTTTTTTTTTTTTATATATAACACTTGTTTTCTATCTCTTCCTCCTGATGTTGTCCTAGCAAGGATAGCATTGTTAATCACTGGCTGGCATTGCTGCCTTTTCATTTTCTTTGTATCTTCTGCAGCTCAAATGCTAACAATTCATAGACCTGCTTCTTGCATAGTAGCAAAACCGCTGTGATGGATGGCCTGATCTGTGTCTGCTTGCACCTTCATGCCTTTTCTTGCATTGCTTTCACCACCTGAAATGATATCCTGTTTCTGTGTAGTAAGGCCCACATTTTCAGATTTAGGTGTCTAACTTTAAACCCCTTAATAGTTGTTCTGATCTTCAGAGGAGCTGGACACTCACATTTGCTTTGAGTAAGTCAATGGGACTCTTGGGAGCTCCCATATCGTCAACATTTTGATTTAGGGATCCTTGCTCCTCTCCTTTCAATTTCTCCTTGGAAGCCACTTCTTTTGCCTTCCTCTACCATGCTGTCCACTTTTCTGATTTTTTTGTCGTGCTTCGATTTCTATTTAAAAATATCTGAACTTACATGAGTCATTCAGTGATACTATTTAGCATTTTACCATACACTCTGTATTTGTTGCAAACTTTGTCCATCTTTTCCATTTTCTCAAACATGAAATAATCTACTTATCTGTGTCAGGTAGGAAGTTTTTATAGGTGAGTTCCATCAACTGCTGAATCTAAGCTCTCATTTAAGAAAAATATATTTGTAGGCATTATAGTTGCGAACTTTCCAGACTAGTTCTAAACTGATCTAGTACTGTCTTCTAGAGTTGTGGATGTGCTTTCACTGATGCTTACAGCTTTCCCAAACTGTTGCCGAGTGGAAACTGACAAGAATCAAGTTAGTTTCACTCCACTCTGCTTCTTGTCAGTTATATGGAGGAGCAAAGGCAAATACTGCAGCTGTCCTTTGGGGATGAGGCCTCCAATAGTGGGTGAATGGAACCCCCTCATGCACCCTCGTAGCAGCCAGGAGGGTCTGGGATGGCAGAATATTCTTTTTTTGTGGCATTTATTTTAAGATGGTGGGTTTGTTGAATTAGTCAGAAAAGCCATCTGATACTATCATAGCATTAGTTGAAATCTTGTATTAGCTTGCTTGTCCTTTTGGATAATGGTGTCTTTTTACTTTTCCTCCTTTTGAAATATTCTATGCTTCACTGTGTTGTTCTTTACCTAGTATGGATTGTGTCTTTAGAAAATTAAAACTTTGGATTTCATTACTCTTCTAGACATTGGAGAAATTCATTCCCGACTGCTGGATCACAGGCCAGTTATTCAAGGAGAAATACGTTACTTTATTAAAGAATTTGAAGTAAGTATTTGTTTTAAAAGAGACGATCTAGTATAATTATGAAACTTCATTTAGCGTGCTTTTATATTACCAGTGGCCTGTTGTATATACTGAGATTTGAAACAGTTTTAGCACCTTCTTAGAGAATCTTGTTTGACATGCATTTCCTGCCCAGAATAGATGTATACTACTTCTTCGAGTGATGTCCCTATGGGTGCTCCACTTGTAGGTGCGGCAGCACCCCCTGCACCTGGGATCAGCGATCTTCATCGGCAGTGCCTGTCAAACTGCACATGCATATCTCCCTGCTCTCACACTGTGAGCGGGACATATAGAGAGAGCTGTGCGGTCCAGCTGCCCCCAGTTCCTTCTCTACCGCCTTTGGTCTGGGATGGAATCTGCAGCCGAGCCCACTTCCTGTTCCCTCAATAGATAGTGCCTTATCTGTTAGTTGTAGTGTAGTTAGTATTTTCTTTTCGTTCTCCTTTCTTCTATCTTAAAAAGAAAATTTTTGTTTGTTTGTTTTTTAACTTTACCTTTATAATTATTTCATAGCTTAGTTTTTTCTTTTCCCCGCTTCGTGCCCTTCCAGACTGAGAAGCTATTTTTCCCTCACCATTATGCCTGGATCCCCTGGGTTTAAGAGGTGCTACTCACAGAATATTCACTGTCTGGAAGAAGGACATGTCCCACAAAATTGGTCCCACTGCCACGGCCTGACAGCCAGAGCCAGAAAAGACCAGGACATTAGGTTAAAATTTCTCCTCATCGGGAAATTGTTATGACCTGCATCGGACCTGGGCCCGGACTCTCCTCCTGTGAGGCCCTCACGCTCTGCCAGGCTGTCTGCCAATCCTCATTCCCCGCATCCCTTGAAGAGAAAGTAATCTCTTTCTCGCTAGGACTAAAAGAAACGGTCTCCCTTCTCAAACTTTGAGGCACAGCCCATCAGAACACAATCCCCTGTGAGGTCAGTTGCCTCAACATAATCTGACAGGAGACATAGTTCCAAGGCCTATCCAAGTACCTCTGGTAGTGATACGAAGAAATTGTCTAAAGACCATTACTGGGCAGACCTACAGTCCTCAGCCCTGTTTCTCAGCTCTGACCAACTTCAGAAGCTACAGCACTGACAAAACTGCCGGCACTGGCGTTCTCTTCGACACCAGCCAATTCCTTGGCACTGGCCACATTGGCACCGACCAAGTCTCTTGTTCCCTCTACTGTATTTGTTGCTATATAAAGAACAAAATAACTTAATTTTCCAGACACCTGCAAATGTAAAAGTGTATTAGAGGGTATTATAGATGAAGTACAAATATTTTATTTATTTGGAAATGTACACTGGCACTTCTCACCAATGCATCTTGGTCACTCTATATCAATACAAGCAATCAATTAAAAATGATCAAAATATGTAAACAAGCAGTTGTTAAACACTCACATACACTGTTATTACAAAGGTCTCTCAAAAGCTTTGGCTGGAGTGCAGTAATCTAGTCTAATGTTACAAAGTCACTGATGTGGATGAATCATCAGAGGAATGGTTGCAGCCTCCTGGTTGGCTGTAGATGGAAAGGCCCTGTATTGCAGCAAATATCTGAGATTTCAGGAGAGCAGTGGATCCATACTGACTCTGAATGCTGTAAATGAAGAACTTTTTTTAAAAAGCAACAGAGGGTCCTGTGGCACCTTTAAGACTAACAGAAGTATTGGAGCATAAGCTTTCGTGGGTGAATGCCCACTTCATCAGATGAAGTCTGCGTCTGATGAAGTGGGCATTCACCCACGAAAGCTTATACTCCAATACTTCTGTTAGTCTTAAAGGTGCCACAGGAC